GGGTGGGCTTGGGGCAGGCATGTCCGAACTGGTTCAGAGTTTTTGTAGTTGTTGCTGCTACTGCTGCTGCTCTCGTGTTAATGGGTTACAGTGCAATTAGGACAGTGAGAGAGCAAAGGAAAAGGGGTCCAAGAGATAGAGAGGGGAAGGTGGAACAAGGGAGAGAGGTTGTGTGCATATTGAATCAGATTAATATGTAATGAGAGAAGCGATGATGATGTGCCAGTAACTATTGAAAGGAAAGGAAAGGAAAGGAAAGAGCAGAGCAGGAAGTTCCGAGAATAAAAAGGTTTGCACGAGGCATTTCCTTTACAGAAATTACGGGGAAATAGTTAGATTTCATTCAATATTTCCAGGAGCACAAGATTTCCAAAGATTTTAAGGGAAAGTTTTTGCAGATTTAAACGAAGGTTGTGTATATCTTAAGGAGTTTTTCTGACTTCAAGGAAAGGTAAAAAAGGTTCCCCACTAGGAAAATATTATGTACAAAATTAGATTTTAATATTTCAATTGCTCTTTCTATACCATGGTTATGGTTGGTTTGGAGTACAAAATTAAACATTTATAATAGTTTTCAATTCCAAAACAGATCCTTAACCCATCCAGGTACATTTTAGAGCCCAGCGAATGTCAGAAAATGCCTCAAATACCATTACTCATGGGTTAATTCCACACCCCAAAGATACCTGTCTCAAATCCATTGACCAGATTCGGAAGATTACAATGCCTTGACATATTTCTAACCAATTAAGATCTCCACCCTCATACCGCGAAAAAAACCCATTACACATTTACATCTGCAAGTCGAAAACTTCAAATCGCTCAAAAAGCTGACAACTGGACCATTAATCAATCTCCGGCTGGACAAAATGGCGCACAAAATGACTTCATTTCACACAGGCCAAGCCAGGCCATGCCATGGGCAGGGGCATTAGCAGGGGGGCCGCCGCACAAAAGAACACGAAGCACGGCGGCCAGCCGTCCGTCGTAATGCTTACTGCTACTGCTGGCTGCCTGTTTTATAACGAGGCTAAGGCGAGGCTCCTGCAAAAAAAAAAAACAGACAAAAAAAAACGAGAACAGAAACACACAGCAACTAAAACGATATCCGTTAAAACTTGAACTCGGCGGTCAACCTGCACTGCGAATGCGTACAGCAACAACAGCTACAACAACAACAGTAAGCGAACAAATTTAGATAAGTCGCACAACAAATACAATACTGTCGAGTAAGTACGAGTATAAAATACAAAATCAAACACAAATCGTAAGAAACTAAAGGCAAGTGCATCTACCAAGAAATACCCTGGTTAATATTATTTATAGAAAATTCAATCAAGTAGAAATTCTGGAAGCTGTGTGTCTGCCACTTAAGATATTCCATTTCCTACCATTAGAACTTATAGAATTTTCGATTTTTGTTTATTTTTTCGACCATGCTGCTCACCTTTTCATTACAGGGTATTTAAATAAGAGAGAGAGAGAGAGAGAATAACAAAAAAGTAACAACAAAATGCCAAAGCAATCAACAAAATTGCAAAGTGCATTTTGCACTGCCAACGTTTGGCACTCTCAGAGGGGGGTTGGCTGTGCTGTGGGGGGTTCACTGAGGGGTAGTAAGGAGATTCGGTGGGGAGGAATGGCTTCAGGGGGGCGGCGAGGGCGGAGCGGAGCGGAGCGGTAAGCATTTTGTTGCTGGTGACAGTGACGTGCACTCGGCCCGGTTCGGTACGGTTCGGTTCGGTTCGGTTCGTTTGCTGGCTGGCAATGGACAAATGAACGCCCCTGACATCGTTAGTTGTTGTTGTAAATGTTGTTAAAATTGTTGTAAGTGTTTTTGTGTTTTGTAGTTTTTGTTGCAGTTGTGGCTGCGACTGCAGCAATTGTTGTCGTCGCTGTCGTTGTAATTGTTGTTAGACAACGCAGTGGCGGTGGCCGGGGTACGCAGAAAATCCTGATTTGGTTATAACAACGCACATTTTGAAAAGCGAAAAACGAGCAACAAATTCAGCAACAACAGCGTTCCACACGGAAAGAAAAGGAGTTGTCACAAATATTGATTTATCAATTTAAAATTTTTGTAGCAAGCTTTTTGTGGCTGCAAGGACTAACAGTAGAGCTCCAGAGATTATGCCACAACTAATAAGTTCCAGTTGTAACTAAGTTCTTTTTTATTGCAGTGCATGGGAGCAACATGAATTTGAAATTCAAATTGGCAATCCAAATCTAAAGCCAAGAAATGCGTGCACCGAGCGCTACAGCCCTGAGCCATGGCTAAAACGAGACGATATATCTACTCAGCTCTCGGTAGAATGGAAAATGTCAGTGGATATAATCAAATAAATAATCTGGCTAAGTGCCGGCGAGGGTTGCACAGAAAAACAGTGAAGAAAATATGAGTTCAAGGGGCGAAAGTCACAGAGCAAGAGGGAATCCTAGAAAGAAATTCTAAAGGGTTATTGCAGGAAGCAATGTACCGGCAGAAGATGAGTGATTTTCGAATATACTTCAAAGAAAAGTGTTAGCCAGGAGTTCCAGGAATCATCTCGAATCAAGCATCAAGGCCATCCCATCTCCCCCATGCAATCATCGTTCTTGTGCAGCCCTGGAGTGAGCGGTCTAACGCAGAAACTAACGCACTTTTCAAAAACTGCTCGGCCTGCTCGTGTGGAACCCCTTGACATTAATAGCGAGTCGTGGAGTCTGACTCCAAGAGAAGCCCAACAGCTAGGGGGCCACAGAGGGGATGCTGTGGCCGCCGCAAAAGAACCTTGGACTGACGCTGAACTCGCGCACACAAAAGTGAACAATCTCTGCCGCAGCCTCTGCCTCTGCCACTATGTCTATGTCTCCATCTCCGCCTTCAGCTGTGTCTCAGCGTTGACGACCGCTCGCAATGTCAACGGCTTGTCGGAGAGCAGCCCGGACTGGGAGAGAGATCCGGGGAGCGCAAGCATTTCAATGATTACCGCCCGAGACTCTGTGTCCGAGTCCGAGTGCTGGCTGTCGAGTGTATCCTTGAAAACGAGAGTTCAATGCTTGGACCGAGCGGCGCTTGAACCCAGTCGCAAGGACCAAAAGGAAAAAATGGGATATCTCGGTCCCAGTCCCAGTCCCAGAACCATGCCAACCCCCACACTCCCACCCCCCCAGGGTTGGTGCCTATGATTTTGCCTCGTTTACGGCCTGAACTTCAACGAAATTGTTCAAGTTCAAGGTTGCCGGAAAGCCCAGAGAGCCCCCCAAAACGAGTCCAGACACCCCCACCAGTTTCGGGTCTTTGTCTGCCGCACGCACATAGCCACTCACACAGGCAGTGAAAAATGGCCGACTAGGAGTGTGGGCAGCCATTTTGTCTGCGCCCAAAACACACCAATACCAACAGCAAGAGTGTGTGTGGGGGATGGGGCTGCCAGACGGCAGTTTAAATATATATATTCCAAACATTTCCTACACACAAAACACATTTACAGGCCCCCACACACACACACACACACACACACACCCAGAAGGGGGAGTGGGAGTGTTCGAGGGCGAGGCAAATATCCTTTTGACCTTGAGCGCACAATTTCCACACGCAAAATTTATTGACCCGACGCAGGCGAACGAACGAGAGAGAGAGCGGGCGGGAGGGAGAGCGGGTTCGTCTGACTTGGCTTCGTCGCCGCCGAAGGAAACTTGAGGGAAAAAACAAAAACGACAATAAAGAAGAAGCTTTGAAAGAAAACCCGAAATGGCCCGACCCCTCGGACCGTCTTGGTCCTCCCTGGGCTCTGTCTGGCTGTGGCTGTGGCTGTGGGCTCTGACTGTTTCTGTGGCTTGAGAAAAGGAAGTAGGTGCCAGGCCATGAAGGACGAAGGAGCAGGCGTGGTGTCTGTGTGGGTGGCTGTGGTATGTGTATGTGGCATTCAGGCAGTTCCCAGAACCGGGGATCCAGTCGCCGTCTGCCTTTCGTGTCAATAGACGTTTATTTGTCTGCCACCCCGCCGCCCCACCCTCTCTGAGCAAAGACCCTACGGGTTGGTGTTGGTCCACCTTCCTCCGATTTAGGCAGAATGACGAGACAACAACCGGAGCGTCGACATTTGTATTTTTGTCTGCGACTGCGACTGTGACTGCTGTCTGGGGCGGTGACTCCTGGCCAAACGGCAAGTGGCTGAGCGGGGGTTGAGTTTTGGGTGCCCACAGGAGTTGGTTGGCCCCTTATAGGGAGGACATCCTGTCGGGATTTAATAAACAAGTTACTGGCCTTTTTATTTATTTCTTGCCAGTTGTTGCCAGACACTAACGTTGCCTATTCTTAGGGGGCGGTAAAGGCCATAGGGTGAAAATTTTTCAGAGGCTGCCGTTTATCCCACAAATAATTGAATTAGGAAAACTAATTTAATTAAAATTTCGAAACTAGGCGTGTCTAGAATTGTAAATTTAGGGAAAATGTACCCCAGACAGTGTTTTTTGTAGGCGAATATTTCAAACGTTTGTGGAGCTTATCTTTGGCGCCATCGATTCAAATGGTCTGCTTGTGGAACCAACACACAAAAGCTTGGCTCTAAGAACTTCACAAGGAATCCACAATGGTGGAAGTCTTATTGGAATGTAAGCTTTTGGGTTCACAAAATCAAATACATGGCGACACCTAGCGACCGGCACACTTGCACCATAAATTCTACATTAATTTTACACGAAATATACACATATTCGACATCCTGAAAGTATGCTACGCATTACAGCTGCACTTAGTTCCCAAAACAAACTCAACCCGAAGTGAGGCGCCATCTAACTCATGTAGATATTTATACGCACATTTTACATGTAGGAAAAGCAATGCATCAACATTTGAGTGCTGCACAACACTAAAGTTTTAAAGAGCTTGGCGCCAAGCTACACTCAAATGTTAATGATGTTAATGCCTCAATTCTGATACAAATCATGTAAATATTTTTGCATATTAAAATGATGTTAAATATTTAAAGAATTGATAGTAAAATCTCTTGGCTTACCGCCCATTTTATCCAGCCGCTTCTCGATGTTCAGACACTTGGACATGAGCTTCTCCACGAGCAGGGGATTTGCTGCGGCGCTGGTCACGAAGCGCGGCTCCTCCGCATGCGGCTGGCCGCCCATCAGGGCGTACTCCAGCTTTGTGGAGCAGTCCCCGCCCGCAACGCCACCGCCACCCACGGCGCCGCCTCCTCCTCCTACTCCTCCATTGCTGTTGTTGTTGATCAGGTCGCCGCAGAGAGCGGCTGCAGCAGCTGCCACTGCCGCCGCCGCAGCCGAGTTGGAGGAGCCGAAGGCCAGAAGCGCCTGCTGGCCATTGGCGTCGCCACCATCGCCACCCAGACTGGCGGCCACCGAGTCCACCAGTCCCTGGACACTCAGCTGGGCATTCTCTTTGGCTAGCAGATCGTCACCGGCCACCACGGCGGCGGCGACGCTGGCAAAGTCATCGTCGTCCACCACATCGGCGGCACTGATGACATTATTGTTGTTCTCCTCCTGGAAAAGACACAAAAGGGGGGAGAGGGAGGGAGCGGGTTGTAGGGGGTGATGTGGCCAGAGAGAGAGAGAGAGAGAGAGAAGCGGGGAAGAAAGAAAAAAGAAACATATGATGAAAAATCCATTGAAATAAAACAAAAATCGGAATCCCCAAAGGAAAACTGTGGATCGATTGATCCGATAGATACATTTAGTGGTTATGCATGAGATTGATTGAATGTGTGTGGAATAGATTGAAAAACTTCTCTGATCTGTTCTTGGCGGATGTACATTTTCGACTTTCACCTCTACGGTGGCCAAATCGGACAGCAGGCTCTCGATCTCAAAGCTGCTCTCGGTGAAGCTGCGGAAGAGCTCGTCGGATGAGTCGCTGCCACATAGCGGCTCCACCACCACATTGACGCTGCGTGCCGCCGATCCATTCAGTTCCCCGCCAACTCCAACTCCAACTCCACAGCCAACTCCAACTCCGATTCCTACGCCCGTCTGCTGTTGATTGTTGGGATTGCCTGCCGATTGAATTGTGGGATTGATGCCTTCCGTTCCATTCACAGCCGAATCATCCTGAAAAACAGAGAGCGCATTTTGATTGAGGGATTTTGAACTCATTTCTGGTGCATAAATGATAGAGGCAGTGGGGTTTAAGCAAGGCAGACTCCAGAGTAGAGGGATCATCAGAGCTCCAGTGTTTTATGTAGACAGTTGAGATTATGGGTGATGATTTGTTGAAGCAGTTTGCTGTAGATGCTGAATCTAGCTTGTGGAAATTGATGAATATTTTGTAGAGTACGGAAATTGTGGGAATGGTTGAGTTAACACAGATTAAAGTTGCTGATTAGTTGTTGAAATGATGTATAATTATTGCTGAATGATTCATTTTAAAGGTGTCTGGTGAAGTTGTACTCACGGCTATGCAGTTTGCCAGATCTAAGCCACCGACAAGACGACCATCGTTATCCGGACACCAGAGCAGTGCATCGTCGATAAAGGGCATCGCTGATAGGGCAAAGCCTGCACTGCAAATGCTGTTCACTGCCAGCGTGTAGCCGTTTCCTGAATACCCTTGCCAGTCGCGAAAATTCTGCTCAATCTTGACGGCGCCCAGGTCCAGGGTCTCCTCGTGGCTTGCCTTGAAAATGTTTGTTCCTTTTGTTGGCTTCGCTCTGGAAGCCTTCTCTTTGTTTGATAATTTGATATTTGATTTTTAAACAATAAAAACACCTTCGTTTTTCTATCACACTCTTTTCGGAAAACGTTTTCCTGCTTTTCATAAGATTTTTTGTTAATTTTGTTTTTGGAAATTTCGTTGTAGGCACTTTTTATGAGACGGTTTTGATTTTTGGTTTTACAAAAACAATTTGTAGATATAAATGTTGCTTAGTTTTTAGTCTTAATTTGATGTGATTTGTTTTTGTTTGTGGACGCAAGAACACACTCAAAAAAATGTTTGAAATATCCTTTCTCCTCTCTCCGTTTACTAGGCGTATACTTGATTTTTGATTTTGTGTAAAAACTTTTTGATTTGTGGCACACAAAAGTGTAAAAATTTTAAAGAGTTTTCTTTTGTTTAGCTTTGTATAAATATATTTTTGTTTAATTGTAAGAATATTTTGGCTTTATTTTCGGAGTCTGGAAAGAAAGCGAAGAACGGACATAAAATATATGAATAAATAAAGTAAATAAATCCACAACAGCTGCTATTATTTCCTATCCCTATAATCCCTCTAAAAATTATCCATTCGCAGTCAATCTGCAATTGAAACATTTTCATTTGCAAATTGCATTTGCATCTGAATTTCTTTTCGGGAAATTCCGACCCAACCTCAGCCCAACCCCAGCCCAGCCCATCCCATATGCCATCTAAATTTGCATCTGCAACAATGCTGCCTCATCGTGCATCCATTAAAATATATCTATTTGTACAATATATGTACGTACATACGAAAGACCGCCGAAAGACAAGAAGGGGCTGCAAAATATAGAAAGTCGTCTTGTTGCATTGTTTCAATTTTTGTAGCTGCGGCTTCCGGTTATAACTAATTTTCTTTTGAATCAAAGTAGTGCTCCCCTCCCCTGTCCCCTGTCCCCTGTCCGCTGTCCGCTGTTCGTTTTTGTTTGTGTTTAAAGTTCAATAACATTAGAAATTGCGAATTACAACATAAAGGCAGCAGCGGAAAGAAAACTCTGCAGCAACTGCAGCAACACCAACACGACAGCTGCATCCCAGGGGGTGTGGGGAGTGCGGTGCGCAGGGGGGGGGGGGGTGGAAGCGGTAAGAAAACGCTCAACAAAGAGACGTACCACACAAAAATGCTGTGGTAAAACTTTAACTGGAAAAAAAAACTGACAAAACAGAAAAAACCAAAATAGAAACAAAACATAAAAAAATAATACAAAATCAAGCAGAAGCAAAGCTGGAAAAATGCTTTTTACATAACATGTTACTGAACCGCTTGCACACAAACCAACTGCAACACCAACACCAAAACATGACAACACCAACAACTACAACAACACCAACCACCACCACCAATACCAGCAACTAGTTTTGCACTCGCCAAATTCATTACAAGTGAAAGTCCAACAATAACAACAGCAGCAAGTAAGTGCAGCAACAAGCCAATGCAGCAACATAGCAACAACAACAACAACAACAACAACAACAACAACAACATTCAACAACAACTTGCATTCACAGCGCAAAAAGTTCGTTAACATTGAACTACACCACGAAGCAAACGAGGCGGAATACGAAAGAGAAAAATGTGCATACACTGGAAGAATTTGAGTAGTAGGAGCAGATGATGCCTCTTCATCGATAATATATTCCAACTATATTGAATCCAATGAAAGCAAATAAAGAAATGTAAAAACTGCCATGACAAGATCTAATTTTTCTTCAGCAACCAGTGCAAAATATTATTAGCTCTACGCTTTTCCTCTCAGTGCACTGAAAAATTGCAGCAGAAAAACTTGAAAGCGCAATGGCAACAGCAACAACAACAACAACAACAACAACAACAACAACAACAACACTTGCAGGCAAGCGTTAGCTGAAAAATATTGAAGAGAGAGAGAGAGAGAGAGAGAAGAAAGAGATAAAGCGAGAAAAGAGGAAGAGTTTACATCGACAGAGCACAGAGCCGTAGGAGTAGCAAATTAGGAACAGCATTAGAGGATGTTGCTCCGCTGGCAAAACAACAGGAAGAACATCCAGCAGCAGCAACAGCAGAAGCAGCAGCCAAGGGCAACAACAGGAGTATCGCAGAGCAAAACAATAGAAACATCATCACAGATGGAACAACAAAACATGAACAAGAGGCAAGGCAACTACATAAGACATTAGAAATAGAAACAGAAACTGCAGCAGCAACATCGCAGGAACCGAATTGTGCGGATGCCCTTGCAGATTCATTGTTCTGCAGTCAAATGATAATCATAATACCCGCTGCAAGTGTATGACCAATACAGGCCACAACTGGAAAGTCCGAGTACATTGAACAGCGCACAGCACCACTACGAGAGCAACAACTTGAAGCACAGACATTACAGCATTGCGCTGCCTGGCACCCGCGTCATCCACAGCAACATCAACATTTCTGCTTCTTCTCTCTCTCTCTCTCTCTTCGCATCTCCCTCTTTCTCTCTAGTGATTTTCTTTTGGTTTTTCCATGGCATGCACAGCCATCGTTCAAGTTTGCTGCTGCTGCTGCTGCTGCTGTTATGATGCGCATGCGCGGCGGAAAACTCGTTTTTCATTATTCAATACAAGCAGCTGCCTGCGCCTGCGCCTGCGCCTGCCCCTGTACTGCCCCATGCCTCATGCCACTGCTGTTGCAACTATTTCACTTTCCAGCCACAAACTGCAAGTTCAAGCGAAAGAAAGAAAACTTGAAAGAGAAAAACGAGCGAGAAAGGAAAAGCAAATGGAAAACCCTCTGCTTCAGCTTCTGCTCTGTGCGCGCGGCATCAGTGGCGCCAACTTTTGCCATTCCGTTCCCCGCCCCTGCCCACCCCTGCTGGATCATGCTTCAGGCGGAATTATAATTAGACATTTGGCCGCTCAACATTTATGCAAAATATTGGTTGCCTCCATCCGCCCGTTGTTCATTCTCCTCTCCTCTCCACTCCCTTCCCTTCCTCTTTCACGTTTCTCCAGGGCTAATCACAGAGCCACAATGCGTATACGCAATCTTTGATTAACTCGGCAATTTTCAGTCCCTGCCCCTGCCCCTGCCCCTGCCACCCCCTGACATGTGTAGTTAGTCGAGAATCTAGAGAGCGGAGTGGCTCCCACTTCCTGGTTTACCCCCGCACCCTGGTTCCAGCGAGAGTGGCTAGCAATGAGAATTCTCGATTCTCGATGCTCGATGCTGGATTCTCGATTTGGGTGCGGTCTCTCGATCGGGGAGTGCGATCAGCAATACAAGTGTGTGTTCCAGTGCAGTCTGTGTGTGGGGTTTGTTCTCTATGCGAAAGTTGACATATTTTACTGGCATTTCTCGGAGAGTGGGTGACCTTACGGCTTATGGAATGTTTTGGGTCTACAAACGAGAGGCTGGGCCTAGATAGAAAACTCTTGTGAATAAATGAATCTTTCACTATTCGATTGAGTCTGTTCTATTTTTTAATCATTTAGATTATTATTACTCACCTTTCGCTTGTATTGTTTCTGTTCTATGTCCTCCCGCGATCCTCTTATCTGTTTATATATTTTGTTGGTTTTTTTTGTTGCACGTTTGGCCGCTCAAATCGTTGCTGAATGTTGCTGCTGCTCCTCCCTAATCTTGTATCTCCTTTATAAATATATACTTTGTATATCAGTTTTTGTTTATAACTATATAAATTTTGATTGTTTCTGTTTTGCTTTTGTATATTTTGTTTTTTTTTGTATATTGAACTAAGTTTGGATTTGATTAATGTGTGGATTTTATCATCCATAAGGCAGTGTAAAGTTATCAAAAGGTTGATGATATTCACCGTTTTGGGTTGCACACCCACCGAGTTGGTGCTGCCACTTGTTGCAGTTGCACTTGCACTTGCACCTGCAATCGATGCAGCCGCTGTGGTTATTGTATTTGCTTGGCAGCGCACTCGGGCGCATTTTAGTTTGTCTTCCGATCGGTTACGTCGGGTTATGGGTCACAGATGCGCGAAGAACTTGCTGATTGCTCGGTTGGGATTGACTGTTGCTGAGAGTGGGGGGATAGCAGGAGCAGTCTCTCGGCAGGGACTCGATTCGATTGATTTTATCTTACAGCGTATGCGATAGATGTACAGAGTTTTAGTGGCATTGGCATTGGCGTTGCCCAAATTTGCATCAGTTCCCAGTTTGCTGCTTGGGGCACGCATTTATGGGGCTGGCAGCTCCGCTGGGGCATTGAGGGGTTTTGGGGTGCGGCTGAGGTTTGCTGCCCTCCTCCTCCTCCTCCTCCTCCTCTTCCTCTCGTTCTTCTCTTTAGCACTGTCTTCTATGTCGGCGAGCTGTGCGGCCTCTGCAAGTAGAATCGCAGAAGCGAAAGAGAAATAGAGAAACGAATCAATAAATATGAAATAACCATTCATTTGCTGCATAAGTTGGAATTGTTTAACAAATTTCGAGTGACACTGACGGGAACCGGTTGACCGCAGCCACAGCCACTGCCAAAGACGGTACCGATCCAATCCGATCCGATCCAATCTGTTGATGGCCAGCGGATGGTGCTGTTCCAGTTAACATTTTGAGGTACAGATCATAAATTCTCTGCCAAAATTTTATTGGCCAACAAATTAACGTTTGGCAGTCGTTATTCAATGACCAAGGGTAGAGTTTCCTGAAAGAGTTTCTTTGAGTCAAATCAAAGAGGGGAAACTCAGAAATCAACATGTAATATTTTTAGGGGAAAAAGCTCCTATCACTAATCCCGAAAACATATTCCAGAACACCCCAAAAGCAACAACAGCATTGAGAGAACAAATGGCAGCGGTGAGCTTTTGCTATGCAAAATGCGTCGGAGAGAGAGAGAGAGAGAGCGAGAAAAACTATCCGAAGGGGCAAAACGGGGAGCAGGTAAGCAGACAAAGATAGAGAGAGAGAGAGAGAGAAGCTCAGTGCGCCGGCTACTTTGTTGGATCGCGCTCTCCCTCTCGCTCTCATTGACTGCGTAAATATGATTGTTGTTGCTGATAGCTGGCTGTGCAAGTGTGTCTCTCTGTGTGTGTGTGTGTGTGTGGTGACCTTCTCACACTGTCATGGCTACGTATAAAAACTGTAGAAAAATAAAAGCTTTCAGTTTTATAATTTGTATGCAGCTCCCAATGCGTGTCGATGTCGGTGTCGGTGTCTATTTCTATACATTTATTGTGTGTGTGTGTGTGTGTGTGAAGAACATAACCGAGTCGTGCTTAAATCACAACAGCAACAGCAACAGCAACATTAGCAACAACAACATGATATTTCATTGAACAAAATATTATTAACGTTCCCCAAGCTCAAGATCGTTGCTTTTTGTTGGTACATACTTTGTTTTTGTTGCTGTTGTTGCAACTTTTATGGTT